ATTGACTCATTGTAAGGCAAAAGCTCTGACCACTCTCCACTGCGGGGTCTGTATGTGAATTATTATAGTATTTTTACAGTAGTGAGCTGAGGTATGAGGGAATACTTTTATATTTATGTCCTTCAAAGCTTTATAACTCTTTAACAATTGTTGAAATCGACCTGTTGTCTACACGGCCGTTTCTTCGCGGACGTTGAAATCGACCTGTTGTCTACACGGCTGTGGACGGCCGTTTCTTCGCGGATGAATTCAGTCCATTTTATTGATTAACTCTGGAGCTCAATATTTTTGCAGCACCACCAACAGGAAACACAGGTTATTCTGTTCAGGTAGAACTCAGGATCAGATCAACGCGGTGAAGATAACAGAGAAAAGACTTCAAGAGACCTTCAAGGTTCAGTCTTTGGAATCCAAATTCAGTACCTTATTTTCTCCCACAGGAGGCTCTGGATCTCTGTATATTTTCCGCCAACGTCTTCGTTCTCACAGGGGAGAACGAAGACGTTGATTCCTCACTTGAAGAGCAACTGACTGATGCTGCAACCACATGACAACCGACACTTCTGCTTTACGTACACCCACACAACCGTACGCACAGATCTGTAACGTCACATTAACCAGCCATGCTGGGAAAATTGGCAAAATCTGAAGCAAAAAAAAAAAAAATGTGATTTGAATTTTTAATACTAAAAATAGCTCAAAATAAAATCTTGTTTATACTTATCACATTTATACTCATTGATAAACATCGATAGCAATATAGGGATACTAGCTAACACTGCGGGGTTTAGTTAAAGTTGACGGAATATTAGAGTTACGCCAAGAATTAAAAAAATAAATACAATTACAAGATTCAAGTTGTAAATTTATGAGAATAAGGTCAAAACGTTACAAGATTAAAGATGAAACGTTACAAAAATATAGACGTAACTTTGCGAGAAAAAGTTGTGATTAAGGCAATCGAGAGCAACGAGAGTGTGACTGCAGCTTGAAGATGTCAGAAAAGCTGTATTGTCCGTGACAGATCTGCAGTAATGAGATGCCGTTAGTGATCCCTCTGTGAAAACACAGGGTCGAAGAGAACAAATTTGGTCTTTTACTCCAATCAAGACAAAAAAAAAAAACCAAACTCATCTCAAGAGGCGTCTATGAAGATTCTCAATCACCCAGGTCGTGGTCAAGGTTGAAGAGTTCTGTTAGGCAAGAAGAGGATGAGAGGTGAAACGTCTTCTTTTAGAAAATTCACATCCAGTTTCCTAACAGAACTTTTCAACCTTCAACTCATGAGGCTTAGACCAAGTGTTAGTTTAACACCTTGGAGGAGAGTTCAGAAGTTTCTGATTCAGTCTCTGAGTCACGTACCCGCACATTAACAGAGGCCAGTTCAGTTGGACAGACACTCTT